GGTGTCCCGATCATGTGATGGTGGCGCGGTCATGTTGTGATGGTGTCCCGATCATGTTTTGATTGTGTCCCAGTCATGTTGTGACGGTGTCTCGGTCATGTTTTGATGGTGCCCTGGTCATTTTGTGACGGTGTCCCGGTTATGTGATGATGGTGTCCATGGAAGAGATGGTCGTTGTGTTGAAAACAGCAGCTGTTTCCAGATTTTTCTTTTTGTCCCGGTTTGTATCTTGCTATTGGGGTCCCCAGCTGGGCTAATTGTTGTTGTTGTTGTCCCTTTGCAGACAGGGATGCCAGGGATCATCCTTTCGAAGCGACGTCCGCTCCTCGCGTGAATGGTGGTTGCCCATGGTTGCCCGCCTTCTGCTCACGCAGGCGGTGCATTGGCTGCCCTCCGCTTTGGAGCTGGCTTCGTCTTGGACGACGATTTGGATTGGACGCCACACTGACGCAATATCTAGTGTGCCTGGTCTTGTTCCCTAAGTTTCCTTCGTGTTTTCTGCAACTGCGGTCCCAAGTCCGCAGATCAAGTGGCCACACTGCACCTCCCTGGTTGCACCTTGCACTTGATAGGGGTGAGGGTCGGCTGCATTTGCTGGCTTGAAGCATGCGCAGGATGTGCTTGGCGGAGGCTTGGATGGCATCATCAAAGGCGGACATCCAGGTGGCGATGGTGGAGTAAGACCACGCCTTCGTCGCGAAGGGACGGATGTGAAGGTTGGAGGATGTCGTCGAGAGTAGGTGGTGCTGAGATGCGGCGTTGGGGTCTGCTGAAGGCGGGAGGGGCGTGGCCTGTCAAGTTGGTAATAAGGAGGTCAATGAGTGGGGCCATGTATGCCCGTGCTTGGGTTGTCTTGTTGGGGATGTCCGTCCCTTTGCTGTGGTGGAGGGCTTCGGTGGTGGCATCCACATCGATCCGTTTGTCACGGATCTCTTGCAGCAAGTGTGCGATGAACTGCGGTGCTCCGGGTGGGGATGAGCCCGCAATACTTTCCATGACTAAGGGTGCGGGCTGTGAAATCCCCTGTGGGAGTTGCAGAATTGGACGTAGAGTCGGTACGAATTGAGGTCTGGAAAGTGGGTCTGGTCGGGAATTCGACAAGCCAGTCGAGCATTTTGAGCATCCATTGAAGTGAGAGAAGCTCTGGTTGCTGTGAAGCGGAAGGAGCCATAAACGGTAAGGGAGGCCAGGGGGGGTAGTAGGTGGTCGGATCTGTAGGCGCTTGTTCCGGCTGCATAGATGGTGCAAGATCAGCGTCCATCACGGCGGCTGGGCAGTGGGTAAGGAACAAGAGGGGCGAGTGCAGTGTGGGATGCGACAAACACGGCTGTGGGGTTGGTTAAAATGGAGGATAGAAAGTGACGGCATCAGCTGCATTGTGTATCAAAAATGGTGTCTGCAAGAAAGACTCGGGGCAGCAAAAACCAAAGCTACTCAAATGCGTGAGCATATGGATTGGACACGGTGGAGAAAATGGTAGGTAACAAAAAGGAGGCTTCCATTATGCAAGTCCTCGGCTCGGTCTCTCCAAGCACATTGGTAGCCGCTGCAGCAGCCGCGCGGCGAGCGATCCGCAGGATGGCGGTGGTAAGTTGACTGGCCTGCTGATCCGTGAGTGGGAGTTCTGGAAGTGGTGGCAGTGGTGGAAATAGGGCAGGTGGAGCGGGTTGTGGTGGTGGTGGAATGGTGCCCGATGGGAAAGCTGGAGGTGGTGCTGGACATGGCGGTGCTGCAGTGGTAGCTTGTGGAGAAGAGAGAGAGAGAGAGTGATCAGCGTTGGAGTCCAGGTATTGAAGGATGTGGTGCGAAAAGTGGAAGGGCATGATGTGGCCGTTGCAGCGCGGTCTGGGGATCCGAACTTGGGTGTGGCGGTGTGTGGCAGAGGTGGGGGGGTCGTGGCGGGTTGTGGATGGAGAAGAGATTGAGCAAGAGCCGGTGGCGGAACAGTGGTGGTTGAAGGAGGATCCAGGTGTGGTGTGAGCCTGTGGGGCGGTTGCCCTGGACGAGATTTCTTAAGGATAGGGACATTGGTCGTAAGAATGACCGGGTCCTCACTGCTGGTGGTGGGTGAAGGGGAGGGAGGAGGTGGTTTGCTAGTTGCTCCAGTGGAGGAGCGTGCCGTGCCAGCGGTGTGTGGAACGGAATGTTTGGAGAGAATGGGTGAGAGAAACGGTCGTGTTTTGGGAGGTGGTGGAGTGGCAGTGGGACTGCGAGTCAAAGGCTGGCGACTGGGCCGGTGGTGGCGGCGGCCAGGTGGAGGTGGGCCGAAAGTGCGTACGTCGTCAGCCAAGAAATCTGTAGTGTTGGGTGGGAATTGTGCCAGAGGGTTGACACGGTATCTGCCTGGGTGGCTCGGAGGGCCTGGCAGGAATTGAAGCAAACGGCTGGCGCGTTTCAAGATGACTGTCCTCACTGATGGTTGGGCGCATAGCATCGCTGACGGCTGCGGCTGCTGGTGGGAGAGACGGAGGTGTTGTGGGAGTGTAAGAGAAGACTGGCCCTGAGGGTAGTACCGGTGGTGGAGTTGCTGCTGTAGAGGGGGGAGAGTGGATAGGGGATAGTGGTGGTGGTGTGTTGGCAGGCGAAGTGGGCTTCTTGAAGTTCTTCCCAGCGTGCCTTGCACTGTTCGATTGAGAAGCCCACCCGACGAGCAACGTAGTTCCAGTTGGGTCGGAGGCGGGCGTCTGTCTTGAGTTCAACTAGGCGAACTTCGGCGTCTCTATCCCAGGCATCCCAGTCTGCGTCTTCTTTGAGAGGTGGTGGAGGTTCGCGTTTCTTCTTGGGTGGTGGCGGTGGTGGAGGAGTGGATGTTGAGGACTCTTGTGATGCGGTGGGTTGCGGTGGTGCATGCCGGATGGGAGCAATGGGAGCTGAGTCGCAAGAGGAGGTCGGTGAAAGAATAGGAACTGCCGTGGAGGGAGCTGGAGGGAGAGGTGGAAACTTGTCCTGTATGAACAAGGTAAAGGCTGTGAAG